TGGCACTTGTGTTTAAAAACTATAATTAAGTTTGAGCAAAGAACTGGTGCTGGATACCTGCATCTTCCACTGTTGATTACTCCAGGCTGGCAGCTTCTGAATGGCAGCACAGAGGGATTTTGAGAGAGAGGCAGGAGCCGGCTACTGAAGGTGAAGTGCCCGTTTCTGTCACTAGAGGGGGATACAGAACAAGTTTTACATACACATATCAGCACATTAAAGACCAGTGTGGACAAGGCCTATGTGTTGTAGTGAGATATGGTGCTTACAGCAGCCTCTTTGCAAAAATAGGTGACTGTGTCCCCGGCTATAACTGATATCAGTAGTGTTCATCACCATTTGTGGCACAGAAGTGTTCTCATGCGTTATCGTGAATAGTTCTCTGGAAACATCCACTCAGTGTGCAGCAGCAGTCAGAAAAGCAAACAATGTTAGGAATCATTAAAAAAAGGATAGAGAATAAGACAGAGAATAGCTTATTGCCTCTGTATAAATCCATGGTACGCCCACATCTTGAACACTGCATGCAGATGTGGTCTCCTCATCTCAAAAACGATATGTTGGCATTGGAAAAAGTTCAGAAAAGGGCAACAAAAATGATTAGAGGTTTGGAATGGCTCCCATGCAAGGAGAGATTAATAAGACTGGGACTTTTCAGCTTAGAAAAGAGGATACTAATGGAAGATATGATAGAGGTCAATGAAATCACGACTGGTGTGGAGAAAGTAAATAAGGAAAAATTATTTACTTCTTCCCATAGCACAAGAACTAGTGGTCACCAAATTAAATAAAAAGGTAGCAGGTTTAAAACAAAAGAAAGGGTTTCTTCAAACAACACACAGCCAACCTGTGGAACTCCTTGCCAAAAGATGTTGTGAAGACCAGGACTTTAATGGGGTTCAAAAAAGAACTAGATAAATTCATGGAGAATAGGTCTATCAGTGGTTATTAGCCAGGATGGGCAGGAATGGTGTCCCTAACCTCTGTTTGTCAGAGACTGGGAATGGACAGCAGGGCTGGGGGGGGATCACTTGATGTTTCCCTGTTCTGTTTGTTTCCCTGTCGGCAGACTAGAATAGGTCTATCAGTGGTTATTAGCCAGGATGGGCAGGAATGGTGTCCCTAACCTCTGTTTGTCAGAGACTGGGAATGGACAGCAGGGCGGGTGAGGGATCACTTGATGTTTCCCTGTTCTGTTTGTTTCCCTGTCGGCAGACTGGCTACTGGGTTAGCTGGACCTTTGGTCAGTCCCAGTATAGCTGCTCTTACGTTCTTATGTTCATGTCAATTGTACAGACGGGAAAACCAAGATACAGAAATGAATCAGCTTACCAGAGGTCACGGAGTGAGTCTTCACAGAGCCAGGCATGAAATCTATCCAAGTCTGCTGACTCTCAGCCCAGTGGTTCAGTTACAAGACTGTCTTTTCTTCAAGGGAGCTTTCATTCTAAATCTAACATTCACTTGCTTACAACTCGCTGGGGAAAATCTTCCTTTGGGGATGGAACATCTTGTGCTTGATCTCAT